GTGATGCACCTGGGGAGGAAGAACCAGCACCATACCTACAGGCTGGGGAACTCCCTTCTCATCAGTACAGAGGCAGAAAGGGATCTTGGAGTCATCACTGATGCCAAGATGAACATGGGCCGGCAGTGTGGGGATGCAGTCAGGAAGGCCAACCATACCTTGTCATGCATCCACAGATGCATCTCAAGCAGATCCAAGGAGGAGATACTCCCCCTCGATGCGGCACTGGTCAGGCCCCAGCTGGAGTACTGAGTCCAGTTCTGGGCACTGCACTTCAGGAGGGATGTGGGCAACTTGGAGAGGGTCCAAAGGAGGGCCACCCGCATGATCAGGGGTCAGCAGGACCGGCCCTATGAGGAGAGGCTAAAGGACCTGAACCTGTTCAGCCTCCACAAGAGAAGGCTGAGGGGGGATCTAGTGGCCTGTTACAAACTAGACAGAGGGGAGCAGGAGGCACTGGGGGAGTCCCTGTTCCCCTGAGCACGACCAGGAGTGACTAGAAATAATGGTCACAAGCTGGTAGAGGGTAAATTCAGATTAGATATCAGGAGGCGCTACTTCACTGTCAGGGTGGCTAGGATCTGGAACCAATTTCCAAGAGAAGTGGTGCTGGCTCCTACCTTGGGAGTCTTTAAGAGGAGGCTAGATAAACACCTTGCTGGGGTCATTTGACCCCAGTACTCTTTCCGGCCATGGCAGGGGGTTGGACTTTATGATCTGCTCAGGTCCCTTCCGACCGTACTAACTATGAAACTATGAACAGGGAGTTGGTTTCAAAATGTCCAGCTAAAACATGGTAAGACTAGCAGTATGCTTTTCCCACCCTGTTTGAAGCTGCAACTGCAGTCTAGCTCTATAGCTAAATGTTTTAAGTAAGCTACAGAACTGTGAGGCCACAAGAACAAATGCTTCTTAATTTCAGTAAAAAAATTACTGTTCTTTTTTAAAACACTGACCATCTTCAGTAATTCAAATGAAACTGAAAGAGTTTAATTTTTATGCTGGTGTATGAAAGAACATAATTGAGTTCCTCCATGATGAAACATAATTCAGATCTTCCAAGATATTAAGTGTAAAAAATGGATTTTGTTGTTTTTAGCATCTTTTCTCTTCCTCAATGATCACTATGCATCCTACAGCTATCTGTCTCCATGCACCCTAACTCTGTCTTCTGCCAATTACATTCTGGCCCAAAATGGAGACCCTAAACCTACATGTAGGCAACTAAATGAAGTTGCATGATTCTCAAACACACCTTTAATTTCCATTGATCTCAGTGGGACTGGTGGGTACTCAGCAAATCTATTTCAGCTGTTTACATACAGATTTAAATAAGAATTTAGTGGTCAGGTTTAAATATGGTCACCTGTATCACCATTTTGTTAAGCCAGCTGTTAAATGATAGTATGGTAACCAAGCATCTGGGTTTTCCGTTTGTGATGGAAAAACATGGTAAAACCTGGATTTTCTCATGTTAAGGAGAAAAACCTGGATTTCTCCTTTAAGGAAAAAACTATGGGTTAAGATGAGTTTCAGCCTGCAGGGGGCTGGGGGGAATGGGAGGAGGGAAGTCAGGCATGAGAGCCTGGAGAGTCAGGCAGCTTGGAGAGCAGCTTCTACAGGCAAGTCTGGAGGGGTGGGGTGGGAACTGAATTCCTCATAGGAAGGGAGAGAGGGAGTTCAGCAGGGCTGAGGCTGCTGCCCAGTCTGGGTGGTGCATGGGGCTTGGGGTCATATGCAGCTGCAGGGCTCAGATGGGGAGCAAGACAGAGCCACAGGTGGCTCATCCAGGGGGTATGGTGGGGGGGGTTGGCTCCCCAACACTGTGCACACTCCTAGGGGGAGCATAGGGGGAATGTGTTCCCCAGATCTGTGCGCAGGGTGCGTGTAGGCTGCCTGCTGTGGGCTGTGGGCTCAGGGCTCCCAGCCCTGCTGCCCTCCCCCCAGGGCCTCAGTGGCCCAGTGGGTGGGACCTGCCCCACTGCTGCTGAGTGGGCAGGGGGTGCCTCACCATGGAAGCAAAGGGTTCATAGCAGGAGCACCAAGCTTCCCCACCTGGCCCTGCTCTGCTGTGCTGGGTCCCACCCGTTGGGCCACAGAGGCCCCCTGGGGAGTGCAGCAGGGCAGGAAGCCCCAAGTCTACAGCAGGCAGTCTGCAGGGCAGATACCGTTCTCCTTCAACTATTTAAAACTCTCACCCATACAAATAAAAGTGTGTCTCACCTTCTGGGGAAAGGATACCACATATTCTAATGGATGTATTAGCACCTTTGAGATTGAAGGGTTCACTACCAGAGGTAACAGTGGGATTTGGTAGTAGGATAAACTGACAGAAAGGAAAAAGGAGGTACCTCATACCAGAGGATGCTACACCAATACGTTTAGTCCGAAGAGGGAAAGGAAGACTCTTTTTTAAGATATGTAAGTTATTTCCTTTTTATTTAAAACCTAAAAGAGCTTCTACAGAAAAGTTTGATTCAATGTCCTATTCACAGATATTTTCTGTTCCATGGGAAATGCCGGTACTTTGAAAAGTTCTCATTTTAAATTGAAAATCCTAGAAATTTAAAAGGGAGGTGCCCAGAAAGACTGGAGTGCTCAGCTTCAGGTGCAATTGACATAAATACAATGGATATCTGACACAGAAGTAGGCCTCTGATACTGGGGACCCCAGAATATTTCACATGGGGTCTGTCCCAGAATTGCAGATCCTGGAA